TAATATAGTCAGCCTGGAAGAGGTCTCTGAAATCTGAGAGCACCTGGCTCTTCCCGCGCCACCAAAGGGCAAATGTTGAAGTATTAGAACGTGAGATGCGTGTCAGCATGTAGGCCCTTACGCCAGCCTTCCAAGTTTGTATGATTACTATTTTCTCATTTTCCTAAAGGATTGCACGAGGTCTTGTGTGTCTATAAAAGCATTTTTAACACTTTGGGGGTGATTTGGCTTTTTAACATTTGCCTTCGAGGATGAAGGCTCCAGGCCGATTAATTGTAATCTGGCCCTTCTAAATCCTTCTCTCCCAGAGAGAGGCACATTTTTAGATGATTAGAGAACTTCAGGTGGGAACACTACTCTGCCTCTGGCTTTATGCCTTAAAATATGACCTAAGGAGAGCTATCATTTCCCAGAAATGAAATATGTAATATGTTACTATTAAAGTGAACCAGAAAAAGAGCATTCTATTACAATAATGGGTTTTGTTTTAAAAAAATGTAAATGTCAAATCCCCAAAGGAATAATACATATTTGATACTATTATTGGAACAGCAATACCAGTAATTGCATGAAGTGCTTATATTTAGTATTATTCCTATAGTAAAGGGATTTTATATAAACCTTTCAGTAGAATTATTGTGTCAGAGGAAAATGAGAAACAACATCACTCATTATTCATGCAATCAATACACATTTATTGGAGGTGACTATGTGTCAGTCATCGGTCTAAAGGCTGGGGATGCAGAAAAAGGAAGAAGAATAAGGAGGAAGAGGAGAATAGAGTATCTTCCTGCCTTCAAGGAACTCACATTCCAGTTGAAGAGACAGGTATAGCAATTAACTTCAATGCGTGTCACACAGCTGTAATAGAAATCCCAACAGTGCCATGGGAATACACTACAGAGAACTATTGATTCTGGCTGAAGGAGTCCTTGCTATCCTTTATGGCCTGTTGGAGCTGAGCTGCATCTTAAAATTTCAGGATAAAGCACACATTGGGCAGATGGAACAGCATGGTCAAAGGTGTAGCATCAGCAAATAATAATAATAATAATAAATAAAAACATGGCACATTTAGGGAATAGTGAGTGGTTTGTGTAGCTAGAGGTAAGTCTGTCAAACTGCCTAATGTCAAATACTTTGATGGACTAGTTTGAGTCAGAGAAATTTGAGTGATTTTTGAGCAGTATAATTTTACAAAATGAATGTGTTTTACATTATACTCTATAGGGCCAAGGCAATGAGAGTAGGAGACAAAATACTGCATGGAATAAAACTGTCATTCTCACCATGACTCATCTGTTAACTTATGAAAATATACTTACATGAAAAAAATGCAAGAAAATTGCCCATTTCACATGCTTATGGGTAGATTGAACCTAATTTTGTAGCTTTATTAAAACCAATTTCCCTCTGAGAAAACATGTCACAGGGGATGGCATGAACCTTTATCATTATTAATAATATTTGATATTTTGATGTCACCTTTCATCCTGAGATCAGTCCTGTCCACATGAGAACAGATAAGCTCCAAGGAAACAGAGATAATATTAATACAGTAAGTCACATGCATTTCTAGCTTCCATATTCCAAGGACTTTCCAGCTGTGCGTTTGTCTCACCTTTAGAAGTTAGTGGATATAGTTGTAAAGAAGTAATTTTTTGTTAACTTGTTATACAAGAAGTCTTAAGGTAGAGTAAGGGCCACATCCTTCTACACACAGCTCTCCTTGGAAGATCGCTTTTGACATATCCATTCCCCTTTCTTTGGCTTCTTTGCCTGATAATCTCCATTCGGAGTGGAGGACACACCAGCAGTGAGCTGTGTCTTCATGTATTCTTCACCTTCTTCAAAAGAGTAGCAAGTCATCATGATCATCAACAACAACTACTACTACTGTTCCTTATAAAGCACTCATTTCAGGCCTGCGTTATTCTACTGTTCTAAGGTGATATACGTCACCTTAACTAATTTCACACCAACTGTGCAGTAGAACTTTCTGTGATGATGGAGATGCCTCATATCTGTGCTGTCTAATGTGGTAGCCACTAGCCCCATGCAGCTACTGAGTACTTGAAATGTGGCTAGTGCTACCAGGAAAATGCATTTTTCTTTCATTTAATTTCAATTAATTTTTATTGAAATAGCCATGTGGCTAGTGACTATTGTATTGGACAACACAGTGGCTTGGGGTTTATTTTTTAAAGAAAATAAAGCTCTGTTTTCATCATCAGTAAGGACTTAATGAGGACTGCTGTGAGTGAATGGTTCAAAAATATTCTTGAAGCTACAAATATTTTAAAAGAAGTCCCATATTTTACATTTGGGTAATTTTTATTCCATCCTTCCCTCATCCAGTTAAAATTTCGTTTAAACCATGTCTGTGGAACATTAGGGTAGCATAGAATCATTTCTAAACAAAGAACATTTACAAGAGATGTGGGTGATATCCTTAAATGAAACCTCATTGTCATCCAATCATCCCATGCGGTCAGCAATGATGGAAACTAGTCTATCCATTGAGAACTGGAATTCTAATTACTAATTTCCCACAGGGAGACATTCACCCCCCCCCTTATAAAATGGGATGACAAAAGAGGGTTTTATGTTTTGGGTCTCCTTGGAGAAACACAGTTTTCAGATAAACTCTTAATTCACTTTGGGCCCTCCTCTTACTAAAACCACCTCCCCAGGATTTCTCTGGTTTGTGTGTGAAAATATGAGAATAAACTTAAGGTGAAGAAATTGATTAGAAGACTCAATTACATTTCCGCTTAGTCCGCTCAGTAACTTACACTGTTACCACTGTTAGAGAAAGAGAACTAAGTATCCCTTGGTTTGAACCATCTGTCGCGAAAATGTGACATATGTTTGCTTTGTTTACTCAACAACCAAGTGTAAACTGATACACTGAACAAGAAATCCGTGTAGGGTGTGACCCTGAGAGCGCACACACGTGTTGAGGAGGGTGCTCCATGAAGGCGTCAATCCTCTCATACCTATCCCTGAGGAACACGTGCATAGATAGGCGTGCAGATCGGAGGGGTGTCCCTTGGTTTTGGGCGCGGGAAGACACCCTCCAAACAATGCGGAGCACGCATTTGAATGGCTACCGCAACCAAGGGGCGCGCCTGGCTGGTGCGGAGCTGAATGGAGAGCTACTCACCCCCTCCTCTTTCCTCCTCCTTGTCTCCCCGCCCTTAACTCTCCCGCCTCAAACTTTACCCAAAGCCTGTGCCCTTTTCAATTAGCCCCACCTGGATCAAGAGGAGCGTTTCTTTTCTCTCCTCCGCAGCCCATTGTCTAGTGCAATGGGTTTGCAGATTTGACAGCTGAGCTCACCCAGACTCGATTCAAACTCGGTTTCCCTGAATGATGAACTTGGATATCAGGAAAGATCCCGAACCCAAGCCCTGAGCGGCCAGACCGCCCTCCGCCACCGCCCTCCGCCACTGTTCCATAGACTCCTCTCAGGACCCAGTGTAGGCTTCGTTCCCCTGGGCGCCCCCCGGTGTACGGGGAGAGGACTACGTGTTCCGGACGGGGTAGGGGGGTCAGCAGCATGGCTGAGAACGAGTGGTCCCAGAAATTGGGGCAAAAGGCTGTGTATGTGTTGGGCGTTTAAATTTATTATTATTTTAAAATTTACTCTTGAAACAGCCAAGATGGAGGTTAGCTTATAAATTTCCCAAAGCCAGGTCTGGCGCGGTTTAAATGCAGTGGCCGGGGGTTCCGCTTTTGTCTCCTTGCCCAAGCTCCAGGGGAGAGAGAGAGAGAGAGAGAGAGAGAGAGAGAGAGAGAGAGACTGCGTGTGCATGTGTGAGTGCGTGCGCGCTGGCGTGGGTCGGTGCGTGGGCACATCCTGCGATCTCGGCTCCGAGGGTCTGGGTCTGAGTGTGTCTTTAACGCTCCAAGTCTTGAGTCATAGCGCGAGTGACGTGGGGAAAAACTTTGTGTTCGGAAGAAGGGTCTGATTCGATTGCAATAGGACGGACGAAAGAAAGAGCCCTTGTGCTTTGTGCCCTTTTGTGTCTGAGTGAGTGCGTGTGTGTCTGCGAGAGCGAAGAGGAGAGAGAGGGAGAGAGAGAGAGAGAGAGAGAGAGAGTCAGGCAGCACTCGCGGCCGGCTGCATAGCGCTGCGTGTCCTGTGCGCGCGTGCGGGATCCGGCGCCGAGTCCCACCGCGGACGAGTGTGTTCATCTGCGGCGTCCGTGCGTGCGAGCCTCAGAGGGGGCTGGCGGGAGCAGGAGCAGGCCGAGGGTCCTCAGGCAAAGAAATCTGGCCTCGAAACCCGCTAGCCTCGCTCAGCTTCCGATATCCCTAACCGGCATCCGAGAGCCGGGTGGGGGGGGGGTCTGCTCGGAAATCGTCCTGGCCCAACTCAGCCCCTTTGGGCTCTCGAAGATTACCGCATCTTCTTCCTAGCGCAGAGAAGTGAGCCCGGAAAGGGAAGGAAGGGGCGGGGACACCCCCCAAAATAAATAAATAAATAAACAAACCGGCTCCTCGACACAGCTGGATACGGTCGGTTGAGTCCAGGTTGGTGGCATTTGGAGAGTTTTTTCGTTCGGTGGATTTGGGAGCCTATCGCCGCTCCCCCACCCTCTTCTCCCCTCTTGCAGGCGCCCCTCAACTTTGGGGGCCCGGGGCGCGCGCGGCTAGGGGCTGCACCTGCCCCGGCGCTCCAGGGCTGCGGGCCGGTGCGCTCGCCCCGGGCGGTGGCGTTGATGAGCCCGAGTCCCGGGCGAGCCTGTGCGCGGCGCGGACACCGGGGAGGGAGCGGAGCACCCACCGCGGGTAGGGGCGCGCGAGCCGGATTTCGGCTCCAGCCGGGACGTCGGTTCCCCCTAGCCCGGCTGCCTCAGAAAGGAGGCGAGCCCGGGGAGGAGGGGGAGACGGCGACCGGGGGCGGCGATTGGTGGTTTGGGTGAAGAGGGCCGGCAGCGGAGCGAGCGAGCTGGCTGGAGGAGGGGGCGGCGAACTTCCAGGGAGAAGGGGCTCTTTCTGCGCCAGGGCTGGAGAAAGAGCTGCCGCCGCCGTGTGCTTCGACTCCAGGCAGCTGCTGGCTCCACTCGCAGCGCTCGGAAAGTAACGTTATTTATTTATTTGCTTGCGTTCAGCCTCTTGGGTTGGACCCGATAGACACCCCTTGGACTTTGGGAGCTCGCTTCCGACCTTTCCAGCCCCTACCCTGCCCTTGCGGGCGGCTCCCCGGAATACACGTACATGCCCACCCCCACCCCGGCGCCCCCTTCCTGCGCCCGGACCCGGTTAGGGGTGGGCCCTCACCCGGGCGCTAGAAAGTCCCCCAAGGCGGGAGCCGGGGAGGGCAGAGGGGCGGGGGAGGTTCTAGCGCTCTCGGCTCTCATTTCAAAGCGCGCTCTCCCTTCCAGGTTGGGTCAGACCTGAACCCCTAAAAGCGGAACCGCCTCCCACCCTCGCGCCAGCCGCCCGCCGGGAGCTGAGTCGCCGGCGGCGGTGGCGGCGGACGGACCCGGGAGTTTCCTCTCGCACTGGATGGAGCTGAACTTTGGGCGGCCAGAGCAGCGCGGCCGTCCGGGGATCGCTGTATGCTGAGCTCCCTCGGCGAGACCCAGCGGCGGCTCCGGATTTTTGGGGGGGCGGGGACCAGCTGCGCGCCGGCACCATGTTCCTGGCGACCTTGTACTTCGCGCTGCCGCTCCTGGGTAAGTCGAGGCCGCCGCTAGCTTTCTAACCTGCTGAGTCTTTCCGAAGTGTACTCGGGGCAGCCCCCCCCCCCCCATTGCAGCGCGGTTGCTCTGGGTGTGGGCGAAGTTTCGTTTTGGGGAAGGGGATCTTGAATCCCCAGCACCCTGTGCTTGGGAGGCGGTGATGGCGCGGCACTTGCCCGCAGCTTTTTGTGCTTGGTTCTTATTTTCTGTTCTTTTTAATGGCCTATCCTGGCGGAGAGTTAAGAGGTCCGAGCCCCTCCAGCCCCGGGACCAGCGCTCCTTGCGAGTCCCGGGCGCTCGCGGAGGCGCAGCGGGCAGGTGGGGTGTGGGCGAGAATTGGACTGCGAGAGCAAACTTCGAAGGGAAAACTTTCCCCCGAATAGTGTCTGAGCGCTCCCCGCCCGGCGGGCCGCGGACCAGAGCTCGCCTGCCCCTCGCCCGGCGCCCAGCCGGCAGCCGCCCTCCTCTTCGGAAAGCCCCCGGCTTCCGTCGTGCGGGGCCGAGCGAGCGGCTCCCGGAGGCCGAGCAGCTGCGCGGGCCGGGCTGCCCCGGAGCGGCGGGGCGGGCACGCGCGGTGGGCAGCGCGCACCCCGGGGCAAACCGCAAACAGCCCGCAAAGCCACGCCGGGCGAAGGTTGGCGTAGCCTGGGAGAGCCGGCGGCCGGAGGTCCCAGGGCGGGAAAATGACTCCCCGGCGTAGAGGGGCGGGCCCGCTGGCTGCGCAGGGCACCGCAGAAGCCTGGTTAGGCACGCGCCCGCGCCCGAGCGGAAGGCTTCGGGTCCCTGCCCAGGCGCCCTCACCCTCCCTCCCTTCCGCCCGCAGACTTGCTCCTGTCGGCCGAGGTGAGCGGCGGGGACCGCCTGGACTGTGTGAAAGCCAGCGATCAGTGCCTGAAGGAGCAGAGCTGCAGCACCAAGTACCGCACGCTGAGGCAGTGCGTCGCGGGCAAGGAAACCAACTTCAGCCTGACATCGGGCCTGGAGGCCAAGGACGAGTGCCGCAGTGCCATGGAGGCCCTCAAGCAGAAGTCTCTCTACAACTGCCGCTGCAAGCGGGGTATGAAGAAGGAGAAGAACTGCCTGCGCATCTACTGGAGCATGTACCAGAGCCTGCAGGGTACGCGCCGACCGTCCTCGCCCCCCACCCCCACCCCTCACCCCTCACCCCACAAAGGCAGGCGGGCCCCTCGGCCGGGTCCGCTGACCTCATCCTCTCCTCGCTTCTCCCCAGCTGCAGAATGAGGACCTTTCATTGGCCCCCAGGGACAGCGGCAGCTGGTGTTTGCTGCCTCCCGAGCAGCATTGTTGGGGCCTGGTTGTTGGAAAACCCATGAGGGGGTGGGGGATACCCCCCCTCCCCGGGCCCCGCTGACCTCTCCGAAACCTGGTCAGAGCATCCGAGTAGGAGCCCGTTAAGGGACAGGGAGGAACTCAAAACTTCTCTCCAAGGAGAGCTTCAGAGGATAAGAATACAAAGACTTGTCCTGAATCCTGTCCGGAGTTTCTCCCCTTTCTTCTTCCCTTCTGTGTATTCTGACATAAGATAAAGAATTAAGAATAAAAGGTCCAGTAGACTCTATTCTATCTTTACCCTCATCAAACCTGATCAAAGGCAGAAAAGCCATTTGTCATCTTAGATTAGCTGAGTCTTGAACCAGCTGGTGTGGTTCAGCCTTGGTTAACACAGAAGTGGCTTTGAGAGAAAAAGGGCCACTTGTCACAACCGTCCATTCCAGTGGGAATTTTTTGGTCCTTGTGTGCCAGAGGTGGCTGGTGTTTGTAAATCTAACACAGCCATCCAGTGCATTCATTCTCCACGGAGACACCAAACATTTGTAACATACAGATTTGACCTCTCAGCTGCCTCCTACTTCAAAACCTATTACAATGAAAACCTATTTCAGAGGCTGTTTCATAACCAGCATCCTGGCTTTCTGGCCACATGCTACATTGAGGAGCAAAGAAATGGGGGCCTCCTTTGGGTCACTTTTCTTCCATTGGCTCCCGGAGGTAAGCTGGGCTGGTGACATCACTGGTTCCTTCTTCTCTTATTTCATTCCTTTGCAAAGAGTGGGAGAGTTTTCTGGCAAGATCAGGCAGGTTGCTCTCCAGTGTTTTCATGGCACTCTGGGGAGAGGAAGGACAACAAAGGCAGAGGGAATGCAACATAACCATGGCCAAATAGATGCATTTGAGACCTTTGAAAGTTTCAGCATCTTTTTGTTACACAATCATAACATCGTTAGAATTTAGATTCAGTAACAAAAACTCTCTGAAATATGTCTGCTTTCCAGATCTAAGCCCCACCGTTCTGTTGTTTTTAGGAAATGATCTGCTTGAAGATTCCCCTTACGAGCCAGTTAACAGCAGATTGTCTGATATATTCCGGGTGGTCCCATTCATACCAGGTAAGCAGATTCATGCTTCCACTTGGATGCGTTTGCCTGCTTGAAATCCATTGGCTTGCATTCTCTTTGGCTCTCAGAGAGCGTCTAAGTAGATAGTTGAATGGTACAGCATTTCTGGGAAATTAGAAATAGGATGATGATAATGAAGAGGCAGAATGCCTAGAGATGATTGTATGACTTGAAAGTAATTCTAAATGAAGTAATGTGGTGCAGTGATTTGAAAGAGGTCGGAGGGAGGTGACTTGGTTGAATTTCTTTTTTTCCACATTGAAATATGATTGGCTAGCTCTTGCATAGGGACTTCTGTCTGTAGGTGGCAATCATACTCCCTTCTTGCTACCTACCATTCACAGCGCCTCCCTGCAGATGGGATCCCTGTCAGTGATGCCTCTTACTTTATGAGACTTCTGAAGATAATCTTAGATTGTTGAAGAGTTTCAGATGGACTCACTTGTCTGCCTTTGATTTAAAAGCTTTAACTCTACCATTTGTTAACAATTCTATTTTTAATTTGTCCTGAGCAAGTGTGTGCATGTATCAAAGAATGTCTTACTTCCCCAGTGGCCCTTTAAAAAGTGGTCTCGCTTCCCATGGTTTGTTTTGTCTGTCTTTGCGATTCTACGTTTGTTTTGGAAGTGAACTTAGTTTCAGAATTAAGTTTTTCATAACTCTGGCATTCAGACAGCCCCATAAATAATGAGCAAGGCAGTAATTTCTCTTAATGACATACAGATTCCAAACTGATATGGTCTTTATTTGTTTACACTTAAGACATTTTCTCAAGTATATACAGCCATCACAAATGATATGTTTTGTTGGTGGTTGTACATGGGGGTGAATGTTGAATTTTATGAGATGATGGTTTGTTATGGGTGAGAGTGTTCTGGTGTTCTAAACATTTTCTGTTTTCCTGCAGAAAGCCATAGCATCAAGGGTATATGTAAATACTGATATTATGTGTCGGTGTATTATACATACATTCATTCACTCACAGACATCCAGTGAGTACCTAATACGTTCTAGCCATTGGGATTTTGGCAGTGAGCCAGACAGATGTCGCCCCTGCCCTCGTGAATCTTCGAGACAGCCAGCAACTGGCGTTTATTAAGCCCCTATTTTATTCCAGGCACTGTGTTAAGAACTTTTTTTTAAGATTTTATTTATTTATTTATTTGAGAGAGAGATCAGAGGGAGAGAGACAAGCAGACTCTGCGCTGAGCATGGAGCCCAGCGTAGGGCTCAATCTCACGACCCTGAGATCATAATCTGAGCGGAAATCAGGAGTCAGATGCTTAACTGACTGAGCCACCCAGGCGCCCCCGTGTTAGCAACTTTTTATCATTAACTTAGATAACATGTGCATCTTGGGTATTATTATTTCGATTTTAGGAATGAAGCAATTGATGCAGTGTGAAGTTGAGAAACCAGCCCAAGATCACAAAACTCATGATTAACGAAACCAGAATTTAAACCCAGATTTGTTTGATTCTGAGCTTTTGTAACATCTGCTCCTTGTTACCCAGAGTGTGGTCTTTGGACCAGTGGCATGGATATCACCTGGGAGTTGGTTGGAAGTGTGGAATTTCAGGCTCCATCCCAGACCTGCTGAATCAGAACTTAATGTTTTAAGAAGATCCCTGGGCTGGGTGCTTCATATACACATGAAGCTTGAGATGCATTTTTCTACATTATTCTGTTTCTGGTTCAGAGGAGAAGTGTGTGTATGTATGTGTTTTGGGGTAAGATATAAGGGTTTAAGTTTAGTATCAGAGGCATTCATATATTATCGAAATAATGCTGATAATTTCCACTCCGGAGCCCTGCTAATGCTCCCTCCCCATCCCCTTGGCCCAGCTGGGGCAGTGCCTCAAGTACTGGAGGAAAGATGCACAGACCCATCTGAGCTCTCACAGGGGCAGGTCTTTAGGAGCTGGGGTGGGATGTGGCCATGGTGTACCAGGAGCGAACTTGGCCTTCCTAGTGCTTGGAGGGGTAGTGCCTCTTGCCTGCTGCCTGCCCCCTGGAAACCTTATTCCTTAGTTTTTGTGCTGATGCTTGGAGGGATATGAGCCTTCCCATGGACAGTGAGAGTGAGAACGCAGGCTAGGAGGAAGGCTTATTTGGGTTTTAGTTTCAGACCTGCTGGGGACCATAGGACTGCAACAGACTCATTTTCCCTTTCTGGTGCTCTCTTTTCTTGGTATAATGAGACCATGGGAGTAAATAATCTTTAGTCCTAACAGGTCACGATTCTGAGGGAAGATTGAGGTCACCTCCAGAACCCATTTACTGTGCTCTTCAATTGTGTTTTCAATCCTTGCATTCATTCTACAGTTAAAATGGCTTGGTCATTCTCAGATACCCCTGGCTTGCCTGAAAAACTTCTATGAGTATTGGGAATTCTTCTGCATATGGACCAAGTTTCACTCATTCATTTTCTTGGGTCCCTTTCTCAGCCAGGTTTCTTTTCATAGCAAATATGACCCTGACTTTGTGAGACCTGTCCTGCTGAGAACCCAGAAGTCATAATGAATTAATCAGAGCCAGGAAGGCCTTGTCTGGAGCTACATTTTATCTCTCAAGGGCATTGAATTTAGGTTCCAGCACTAATGAGCTTTGACCTCTGACAGTGATGGTGTTCCCTAAGTGGGTATAGGGAAGCCAAATGGAACCTTGAGAGGTTTTAAGTCATTGAATAATGCATATTATCCAGTTTGGCATTTGTAGAATAAGGAAGGACAAAGGAGCAGGATGATAAATGTTGCTTTTTGTGGTTTGATTCTGAGTTTCTAGAACATCTCTCCTGCCTTCAAAATCTCTCTGAAGAAACCAGGACAACAGGGCCTCAGTCTTTTACAGATAGGGTAACAATCAGAGTGTCCATATTTGGGTTTCTTTGCCCAATGTGAGGTGAATGTTTATCCACATACATTAAGTGTGAGCTGAATTGTCTCACTGAACAAGGCAGGTTTGACGTTCTTGTGTTTCCATTTTCTTTGGACTCCTCAGAGCTGTGGGCTCCTTTGCCATTGTTTACTTGATCACCAGTTAAAAAGCCATATTGAGGTGCTGTCAGTGGCCTGACAGGAGCAAGGAAGGGAACAGAAATGAGATAGTCTCCAACCTGTCATCTCTGTTCTGAAGCCTGAGCGGCAGGAAGGAAATCAAACAGCCGAGTCAGGTGAGAATTGGGGAATTGCAGGAGCACAACCCTTGTGGAAATGCATTGGTAGAAGCATTTGGTCTTGAAAGCACTTTCAAGGGCTCGAGGAGGGACCTTCGTTGTGGGTTGATGTCATTGTGGTTTTTAGGGATCTCAAACAGGAAGAACCAGGCAGTGAGTGGGAGCGTACAAAGGAAAGAGGGAGCCAGTGCGAGAGGATGTTGGAGGAGAGGAGAGAACACGGAAAAGGGTCTTGGGAGCCAAGAGGGCAGAGCCGTGTGGGCACATGGAGGCTCAGAGGACAAAGCCACCACGTATGTTTCACATCTGCCATGACTCTCTGCTCTTTAACCTTGTCTTTTCTTCTCTGTGCAAGTTCTAGAAGCAGCAAGAAGTAAATAGTGATTTGAAAGGGAGATGAACCTGTTGGCCATGTTTTTGGACTCTCTGGAGGGGGAGAGCAAAGTAGCAAAAAATTTTGAAAATACAGTGGGTGCCAAGAAGAGTCTGAGGATGGAGGATCAGAAGGGGATATAAGCACCTTTATGGCAACGAGAGAAAAAAAGAGGGCTCCAGGGTTTAAAAGTATTGACTGGGAGGTTGGATTTTGTAGAGAGGAGTCAAGAGAGGCCAGACCTTTCTCAAAAATAACCAGAGCCGATGGTATTGCAAACAAGAAGCGAGATGGATGTGGGGAAAGAGGGGCATTAGGATTTGAACATGCTGACTCTGGTTTGGTAAAAGATAAAGGTCTAACTCTCTGCCTCTCTCATCATTTCCTGCCAAGTCCTAGGAATGGCTTAGACCTTCCCAGGAAGCCATAGGATCTTGACATCGGTTCCCACGCAGTTGGAAATAGTTTGCTTCAGTAGGAGATGCCCCTAAACACTCTTTGGAGTATGGCCCCTTTCTCTGAATAATGCTGTGAATAATTAGCCATGTTTAGCATTTCTGTTTTAATATGCCATCATACTTATGTCACTATGAGAAAAAAAAGCTTTCTTAAAAATTTTACATGTTGAAGAGAAGTCTTATAAGGTCCTGTGCTGTCTTGTCAAATCAGGACCACAGAGAGAAGTGTTTGTAAATACCAGCTACTGGGGTATGTGGTGGTCCTTTGCCTTCCACTCAGCTTTCCAAAACCCTTCTAATCATGTTGTCCCAATAGGTGAGAATCCCCGTTGGTTCCTTGTTCCCTGTTCTGACATATGGTAAACTCCTCCCCAGGCCAGATCGTGCTTGCCTTCCTTCTCTAAGCCCGTCACCCCCCGTCCACTCAGGCTCACTGAGCAGTCCATTCCCCAAGCATTTCACATGTCTTCACTTTCCTGTGCCTTTGTTCATGCTCTTGCCTCTGATGGGGAAGTCTCTGTTAGTTCCCCGAGACCTAGACCCAATTTCATCTCTGGGGCCATGCTGGAATTCCCCCAGACAGGCACTTCCACTCAAGACGCTTTCGTGCTGCATTTTGTTCTTGCCTTCACGATAGCTGTTAATCACAGGGTATTGAGAGGACTCACGTATGTGTCTATCTTTCGCACTGGAAAGCTGGGGGACCTGCTTGCTATGCGGGGTGTATGCTTAGCCTGGAGCCTTCTTCCTGTTCCTGAGTAGTCACCTCGTTAACCATGGGTGCTTGAATATCAGAGAAGGGCTGTAGAGATCCAGTCTAACCTTCTGCTTTCACAGAAGGGAAGCCCAGAGAGAGGAATTGTCTTGGCCAGGGCCACAGTGCTTGAGGGTAGCCCCGAGGACCTTTGCTAGAACATGGCAGTGCCTTCGGGGAGGCCAGTGTTAGCCTCTTTCTGTTCTGCGTACTCTCTGGACACATCATCCA